CTCTTGCATCTTGGTCGGTGAAGCATGCCAGAACAGGGGGGACAATCTTAGCGAGATATCTAGGTAGTTCCTGGCCTTGAGGTTAGACGAGGGTCCATGGTGAACGCTGAGGTGCTAGAATTATTCTGAGGAGACACCTAGCATGAAACGAAGAGATCTCGGGGGTTGAAACATACTGGACCCAGGGCAATAGCGGCGGCAGCCAGGCCTATTAAACCGCCATTCCTGGCATGAGGCTGATGCACAGCGTAGGCATAATCGTTGCATAGCTGCTCGAGAATATCATGAACTCGTTGATAGTCCTTGACACTGACAAGATCTCGAATCACACGTTCAAGCCTGTGGTATGAAAGTCAACATTTGTATCTTTACAGCATGAAAGTAATGGTAGTAAGTCGTCGGACCGAGGTGTGACCTCTTGGCAAAAGTGAAAGCAAAGAGCTATCAATAAAAGACCTGGGAGTATTATGCAGATTTGTGATGGAAAGTGAGACATACTCGAGAGCACCGATCTTACGTTTGTCGTAGAGCTTATCATTAAGGGCCCGCTGGATGTTGGCATCCATAGCTGCAGCTCATTCACATCGTCCGCTAGGCGCGACGAGATAGCGGTAGGTAGCTTGCCTGTTCAGTGAAGGTAGATAGGGGTGACAGATTATCTAATGATGGCAGAATAACAACGAATGAGAGTCCCTTTGAAGTGGTAAAGAAAAGCAAAGCTTGGTTGAAGCTTGGAGTTGTTGTCGTAGGTAGGAATTAAGTTTCAAAGTGGTTGGCTCGTTTGAGATGGAGCAGGGAATCTTAGGTTGCTTCCATCCACGCACTGTATGGTAACCTGGACAGGGAAGGAGGAGAGCTGCCAACCCCCCCCCCACTAATGCCCCACGAGTCTCGACTTTTGGGTGACGCCCACCTTTTAGGACTTTGTACTCCGTGCTCGTGATCTGACGTACGAACGCGTCTACTTTTGTGTTTCAACCTGAACCATGAGATTCATTTATTTATTTACAGCAGAATCTATGAACGTAAAGTAACTTGTTACCAATCGTTGACTCTATCAGCTTTATACCTGCGTGAACGAGGCTTGCACTGACTCTTTTAGAGTAATCTATTCCTATTCTTTTCATCATCTTCAGTGTCAAGAACAATTCCATTCTAAGAACATGCATAAGATGGAAATGCCGTTCTCATAAAATCTGCACGCGTCCACGAATAAAACGCTTCCAGGCTTTCTGCTTTCTGCTCTCTGCCCCTCATCATGGCCCCTCGTGCGACAAATCGACGTCACTCAACTACCACCACTGGCCCATGTGATGGGCGGCAAGCCCAGTTCTTCATCTGCCCAATGCTAGAGCCTCAAAGGAACTCCTTCGACGAGGCTAAGGGCACATTTCATTACTACGGCTTACAACTCACCATGTGACCAAGACTCACTGAGGTCAAGAAGAGCCCTCATACTTATGATCCCCAAACAACTTCTATCATCTGAAGAGAGCCACACGTTACTCCAATACACTGAATCAACCAGCTCGATTTCCAAGATGACCCAGCAAGAAAGTCGATGCTCGCAGGCTGTACTATCCGTCGCACACGCAAGGCACTTGTTGTTCATCCAAACTCAAGTCTCACAACTCCGGACTTTATGAGCTTCTAGACCAAGACTTACACATGGAATGTCTTGCACAGAGCAGAGCTTGCTTCCAACCTAGCCTAAAATCACGCCTTGTGGTCGTGATACACCTCAATATCTAAGACAAGATCACTATCGTCAACGAGAAAAGAAAGTGAGACAAGAATATTCATAAATTCATCATTATACCTTGCAAACGATCTAGCGTGTCAGTTCCATCAGTCTAATCTAAGCAAAACTTTTGAGGACTTTGTCAACAGAAACTGGCACAGATATATACAGCAAAATACCAGTCCGTTGGTCGTGTTTCGTCTAATGGTGATGGCCCGAAAGGTCACCGTTCTGAATCGCCTGCTGGCACTTAGCAAGGATCGCCGCCTGTCGGGAAACCTCAGCCAGCCTTCCAATAACCTGCTGGTTGCCGTTGGCGAACCCATACAATGCGTAAGGGATATTAACCTCGTCACAGAACTCCTGGACGAGCTTCTGTGTCGCACGCAGATTATGACGGGGCACACGAGGGAAGAGATGGTGAATAACCTGGAACTGAAGACCACCATGGAAGAAGTCAAGCCACTCAGGACAATCGATGTCCATAGTGGTTCGGAGTTGTCTCTGCGGGAACGACTCCTGGGGTCCAAGCTCAACTGTGCTCATGGCAAAGTGAGACAGGACAATCTGAACATGAAGAGGCGAGGCGGTGATGTTGCTGATCATGACAAAGTAGAATCGGGTCCAGTTGTCAGGGAGCAGGTTGTAGACCAGACCATAGCCGAACCAGGTCCAGAAGAAAACCTGTCCAATGATCTCAAGCCACCAGATAACCAAGCCGGGACCCTTCTTTGGACCTCGGCCCATGATGAGGTGGTCCCATGAGAGTCGGTAGAGGTTGAAACGAGCCAGTGCAAGCAACGGGTAGTAAGTCCAGGCCTGAACCCTAAGCAAAACCTTTGCCACAGCATCGTAGGCCATGACTCTCTCGTAGTATGTTGATCTCAAGCTGCCTAGGAGACGGTGGGAGACGGCAAAGAGGGGCATATGCTCAATATCGGGGTCGTGCTCTGGCGCATTGGTGATAACGTGGTGCACGTTGTGATTGCGCTTCCACCATCCTATCGACAGACCTCCCATAAAGTCGGCGATCAGAGCTCCAATGCAAGAATCAATGAGGTAGCTATGGGTAATACCCATGTGCCCAGCATCATGGACTGTGAATGAAAGCTGATGCCACAGGGCGCCCAGGAGAAAGGCGCTTAGGGCGTACCACTCGTGACGAAGGCAAAATGCTGAGCCGACTGCCAATGCAGTGTATCGGATGAATTCGATTCCGTAGGCTTTGTAGTTACAGTTATAGAGGCCTGTGTCGTAGACCTTCTGGTGGAGCTCGCGGTACTTGGCGACAATCTTGGCTTGCGTTTCTTTGTCGGGAGGAGGGTACTTGTCGAGGTCGAGGTTGATGTGTTCGCGAGTGATGGTATCGAGATACGACATGCCATCTAGATCTGGCTCTTCTACACTGGAGGCAGATGAAATCGAGGGCGCCCGAGCTCCATCCTTCTTATTGGTCTTTCGCTGTCTAACTCCCGGGGTCTCTTCCTCGTCAAAAACTGGTGATGGGACACGGGTTGACGGAGCGCTCGAGTCTTGGTCTTTGTGGGATTCGCCCTCGGCATTAGCTCGTTCGATCTCTTCGCGTGTACGGTAGACGCCTCCCTGGATAGGCGGCAGGAAGTTCTCCCAAGTCCCCTCAGTTCGGCCGATGCGGTAACGAAGTACTTTCTGGCGTGTCTCGAAACAGTGTAGACTATTCGTCAGATTAGCATTGGCCCTGCAGTCACTGGATTTGCTTGTTGCCTACGCATCAATTTCATCAGAAGCATCCTTGCCCACCATATGAAGCATAGCTTTATCACCTCCGGGGTGATAGGGCATCCACGCGTCCATCTTGATAACCTGTTTATGGAAAATAGCGACATGCTTGCCTTCAGCGATCAAGGCTTCAATCTCGTCCCTGGTCATGAGCTTCGGTGTCTTTTCAGGCACATTGCCTGCCAGAGGCGGCAGGCCTGTAACGATAGCGTTATGGGCCATAGCGAAGGGCAGTCCGAAACAGAGGCAAAAACAGACAACAAAATTGCCAGAAAGAATGTGGAGGACTCTGCTGCACCAAACAACAGAATTGTCCAAGACTTGGTGTTTCCAAGCGAGGGATGGATGTGGGAGTATTGTAGATTTAAATATGAAAGTTAAAAAGGGGCCGATATAAGCTTGCGGTCGAATCATATGCAGCTCAATTCACCGCATCTTATCAGTTCCTTCAGCGCAGTGCGTGCCATTTCCTAGCACCGGCAGTGGTGCAGCGGCGCAGCTGGTGGCACACCTCACTTCTATCAAAGTGGCCCGATCTCTCCGCTGTAACGGAGGGGCTGAAGGGGAATTGGAGATAGACAGGCAATGATTTACCCCGCCACCAGTTGGAAACCTCGAAAACAAAGGTCCCTTGTCAACATCGACTTACAAGCTTCCATCTCATACAGTTCTAATCCCCCGCATTCAGCAATTGCTGCCACAAATGCCTCGCTGCGTACGCAAGTCTCATCTTCCTGAATCTAGGCACCAAAATTAGATATAGGCAGCGGTTTCTCAATCGAGACACAGGGTCTCCAACCTGGTGGGGATATGCAGAGCAAAGCACCATGGATCACCAATACCATGTTGCTTTTGACGAGTGACAGTGATTGATCCGTATTTCCGCTACTGTGAAGCTCCTCGGGTTCCTAAGAACCCGTACTCGCCGATTGGTGAGCTCAAATGCTTTGCATTCTCAATCACTCACAATGTCATAAGTCAATTGATGCTTTTACTACCAGCTCTTCAAGTTACAAACCGAAAAAGGTTGATAACAATAAGGGGATTGAGGAATATCAACTATATTCCTCAGCCTAGCCAAGTACCTAGCTGGTTTCTGGTCAAGAATGAGCTGATCTGGTGTATCTCCTCGCAAAAACCTTTCGACTCTAACAACCTTGTAAACCCACCGCTGCAAACGATTTCGGGTCTGGTATCTCTCGAAGGGGCCTGTATTAGGTGAAAATATTCGATATGCATACACGAATTCGTATTCGACTTGTTCGAATAATGACTAGAGTTTTGACTGAGAAGTTAGAGAAAATGGGGATAACTTCTGAATGGAATGGAGTGCCAGTGTCAGCCGTCTATCTCTTTCTTGGTTCTTGTTCTCAATATTAGATCCTTGCTGGGACACTTTGATCTAAACCTTGTTCCGACTAAGCTTATGAATTAAGTTTCATCCATTGTACAAGAGACACTGGCTAGCCATCTTTGAGGGTTTATCTATGCAACCCAAGGATAGAACATTGAGTTATTGATCATATAATTTGTATTCTTCTTTCACGCATTGCGAGCTCAACTAATAATCTTAAAACGCAAGCCACGCATCTTGCCGTGTGATTTCCATACATCATGCTTGAACAGGCAGAAATTATTACTAGTTTACACAACCCAGAGTCCGAGATGCCCCGGGCTCTATCCCGTTCGCACTATCCTTGCGAGGCCTCCTCTAGACCCTGTGTCATCCTTTTTGTTATGTTCTCGGCGACTACAGACGCGCTATCAAGTCTATGCATTCAAGACTGTCCATTCTCGCCGCAAAGAGCACAGAAGAGACCTGCCGGTACCAACTTGACCCATCTGTAGCCATTGGCACCCAGCAACTTATCCGACCAGTTTCGACCGCTCAAGCATTGCTTAGAAGTGGATGGCCTTGGCGTGAGTGGCCATGGCAGCCTCCTTGAAGGCCTCAGCAAGTGTGGGGTGGGCGTGGCAGGTTCGGGCAATATCCTCGCTGGAAGCACCGTACTCGAGAGCCAGAGTACCCTCAGCAATCATCTCACCAGCGTTGGGGCCGATGATGTGAACACCGAGGATGCGGTCAGTCTCGGGGTCAGCGAGCATCTTGACCATACCCTCAGTGTCCTGGTTGGTCTTGGCTCGGGAGTTGGCAACGAAGGGGAAGGTTCCGACTCGGTAAGGGATGTTCTGGTTCTTCAGGTCCTGCTCACTCTGGCCGACCCAGGCGACCTCAGGGTGGGTGTACATGACGGAGGGAATGGCACCATAGTTGACATGGCCATAACCCTTCTTGATGTACTCGACAACGGCAACAGCCTCCTCCTCGGCCTTGTGGGCAAGCATGGGGCCGAAGGTGACATCACCAACACATCGGATGTGGGGGATCTTGGTTCGGTACTCGGAGTCAATGATGACACGGCCGCGGTCGTCAGCCTCGAGGCCAATGTTCTCAAGGCCGAGGCCGCCGGTGTAAGGTCGTCGGCCAATGGCAACGAGGACGACGTCGGACTCGATCTAGATATGTTTGTTAGAATTGTAACTAAGACAAGAGATTTGGATACACGTACAGACTCGGGCTTGCCACCCTTAGCGGAGTCAACCTCGAGCTTGACCTTGTCGCCAGACTTGTCACCGCTGACAACCTTGGTGTTAAGCTTGAACTCAAGACCCTGCTTCTTGAGGATCTTCTGGGTGTTCTTGGCGATCTCAGTGTCCATACCGGGGCCACCAATCTGGCCGAGGAACTCGACAATGGTGACCTTAGAGCCAAGTCGCGACCAGACGGAGGCCATCTCGAGACCAATGATACCACCACCAATGACGGTCATGGTCTCAGGGACCTGCTCAAGGGCGATAGCGCCAGTGCTGGTGATGACGCGCTTCTCGTCAATCTCAAGACCGGGGAAAGGAGTGGCCTCGGAACCAGTAGCAATAAGGATGTTCTTGCCGCGAACGCTGGTCTCACCGCCCTCGTTGAGGTCGACCTTGATCTCATGCTCGTTGACGAAAGAACCAGCACCTTTGATGTACTCGACGCCGTTCTTCTTGAAGAGGTACTCGATACCCTTGGTGAGACCGCTGACGGAAGTCTCCTTGGCCTTCATGAAGTTGGCCAGGTTAAGCTTGACCTCGCCGACCTCAATACCGCGGGCCTTGGTGTCGTGGAGAATCTGATGGTAGAGATGCGAGTTGTTGAGGAGAGATTTTGAGGGAATGCAGCCGACGTTCAAGCAGGTACCGCCAAGGGAGCCACGCTTCTCAATGCAGGTAACCTATGAGACGAAGAGATCTGGTCAGCCAATTCTGTCCGCTTGATCGTGTCCGGAAAAAACCAACCTTCATGCCCTCTTGACCAGCCTTGATAGCAGCGACGTAGCCAGCAACGCCGCCACCGATAACAACGAGATCCTTTTCCTCTGCAAGAAATTCCGGTCAGCAGGTTGTTCGGGGTGGTGCTCCGACGAGCTCGGAGGTAACATACCAGCTGAAGAGGCATATCCACGGCTGAATCGCGACAGCGATGAGGAAGCGACAACGCTGGGGAGCCTATTAATGAGGAAAAAACATTGTTAGTTGACGAGCCATTTTCCCCTCGACGACGGATTGGTCCCAACAGAAGCGGGCTTAAACAAGCTTCTCCTGGACCCATTCGTCGCAAAGCGCATTGTGATGTAAACGTACGTAGACTTCTGGAAAGCCGGGCGAGCAACAGCTCGTGATATTAAACGACTGGAAAGCATGATGTGGGTTGTGTGGGAAAGACAATGGAGGACAGACGGATTGTGGAGAGGAAGGGGGAGGATGAGGTAGAAAAAGTCGACGAGGTTGAGGTTGAGGCGTTACCGCAACAAAGCTCGCCCGTCTAAAAAGCACAGGGCAGTCAGTCCAGTAAGGTAAATCACTGTAAATGCACTACAGGGAGCTTCGGCAAAGAGAAGCCCGCCTGTTTATCAGGTATTTTTTCCTAGACGTCAGCCGATACGTTGACACGATTGGTCGCCTCTTCGGTGAGGGAGCCACCTACAGCGCCCTCACCTCCCTACGCATGCCCTGTAAAGCTTTTGCTAGGTCCTGTTGGAGAAAATCGCCCCCTGGACATATATCTCCGGCCCCGTTGTCGAATGGCATTGCATTATATCTCCAACTTTTGGATCCATTCCCGGTTTCAGTGATGGTTCACGCTAAGTTTTGCCTGGGAATTCGGGCATTTCGTCCCAACGAACGCCGAAACGGTTCTCCCCAAAGACTGATGTCGCCCCCAACCGCAGCTTATCCCGTCTCTTGCACCTCCGAGGACCCGACGTGTCCCGTTCCTACCCGGTCGCCGGACGTCGATTGCCCCTCGGGATGCCGACGTCACTACAAGATAAAGCCGCTCATATACGGAGTACGTCGCCGGTTCACCGAGATGATTGCTAATAAACATCATGAGTCTGGACTCTGGACTGAACCAGGCCGAGGAACTTTTTAGTATTGTCGCCTCCCAGCATATCTATGACTCTTATCCATATCCTACACTTCTATCGCTGCTGGGCGCACAATAATCTGCGCCTTCTCGCAAACGCCCTCCAGCTTTTTCAACTCCTTTGCACCAACCAATTTCGTCTTCCGGACCTTCTTCCGTAGCATCCAGTGTATCCCGGCAGCCAAGCCTGGTAAGTCTCGGGCAGCACCAAAGATCTTCTCCAGCTTGATATCTTCCTCCGGGCCCTTCTTCTTGCTCCGGCATTCCTTCAGGAGAGCAAGTATGAATAGCTGCACAAACATCGATGTCCAGTGGTTCGCCTCAGGGAGTTCTAGAGGCTTCAAGATGGCGATATTCAGTGTTCCATCCGCAACAAGTGCCGCGTAGAATTTGGCCACATTAGTGATGCGTCTCTCATCTTTCATGCGCTCAGCATCAGCCGACTCATCCTCCTCAGGGGCTTCGCCGAACATAGATTCTCCCAGACTCCTAAAGATCTTCCATAATCGATCTTGAATTGCAAATCTGATTCGGCTGTTGCTCAAGCAGGCCTTTCCTCCCACAAGAGCGTAGTAGGGGTTGTATTGCATTTCGCTGCCTACACATTGCACTAAGACGGTGGCAAGGGCCAATTGGTCATCCTTCTTGAGCCGCAGGTTGACAAATTGTCTGTAGGCGTGCTCGAAATTCGATGCTGTCATCAAGGCTGTGAAAATTGCAATCTGGGCCGTTCCACTCAGACCTTGAGCGCGAGCCTTCTTTTGGTAATCAGGTAAAACGATATCCATGTCCTCATGATCACTCATTTCAGCATCAGATACGTGCCCCTTTTTGCTCTTGTCCAGGAGGGTTGTTGGCACACTGGCACCAACCAACCACCATTTACCTCGTGTCTCAGCTCCCTCAATGTCGACCAAGCCTACGCCCATAGGAGCAAGACCATCGAGCCGTCGCGATTGAGACTTGAGCTCACCAAGACGCTTCTTCATGCGTTGTACATGTTCTGAGACGACAGTAAAGTCCAAGCCCCGGGCCTTCTTTTTGCCCTTGGTAAGGTCGGTGATGGTCTCAACCATGAACTTTGTGCGAGCCGAGATATTGCTGTAGCCCGCCTTTGAGACGGACTGGTTAAGAACCCCAGAGACGTGCTTCAGCGACTGCTGATCATCCTGCTTCAACATTCGGCCAGCCATGCGGCATATTCGCAGAAGAAGCTCCACGTTGATCTCGTTGAGGTCGCTGAGAAGTCTCTCCATGTAATCGAAGATGATCTTGCAAGTGACGACCTCGAACACGTAAAGTTGTGAAAGCAGTGTCAAGATATTCGAGGCTTCCTTTTGAATAGCGGATTCGGCGTTTTGTTCCTTACTCGCTTGCTCATAGTGACCGCCAAAATCTTCCACGATACGGCGGATCAATACTGAACCAAAACTCGATCCAATAAGTCGGTAAATAGCAGCCGCAAATCCACCTGTGAGGACAAAAAATTGATCAGGGAGACTCTCTGGCTTGCTGATTTGAGCCATGACCGCATCCGTGATAACATCTGTCACATCACCACGTGCATTGTTTTGGTAAAGCTCCTCCACAGACTTGACGATGGACAAGATGTTGGCATCTGTAAGTCGATTGATCAAACCTTGAACTTGTTTTCTTAGTCGACTCTTACGCTCCTCTTCTGAGTTTGCGGCTCTACGCAGTGAAGGAGGGACGTATTTCGCAACTGTAACTCCAGTAGTGGGTGCGACATAAGGGTTCTCTCTCTGTCGCGGCTGGGCTGGGGTGCTGTCTGCAGCATCACCCTCGTCGTCGTCGAAACCGCCGAATGACTCGTTGTCAAAGTCACCTTCATCTTCATCGTCTTCGTCCATCAGGTCCATATCCTCGTCTTCGTCTCCAGATTCGTCGTCCAGACCCATATCGTCTTCTTCTTCCTCATCTTCAGCCATGCCGCGGGCCTTTTGCCGACCTGCAGGTTCTGCTGTCTTTCTTCGCTTCGAAGCTAGCCAATCATCATATTCACTTTTCCTCTTGTTGTTGTCATTGCCGTTGTCACCGACGTCTTCTTCGCCGCTCAGATCCCCTAGAAGATCGCCAAGACCATCCTCTTTGAAAGATTGGGGTAGTGATTTTCGACCCTTTTTGATACCTAGCTTCCGCTCAAAGGCCTCAATCTCGGCGTCGTCCTGGGCCAGTCTCTCCTGCACCGCCTTCGAAACACCTTTCTTCCCACTCTTTGCTTTTTTGTTCTCTTCCTCTTCTTCTTCTTCTTCTTCTTCTTCTTCTTCTTCATCATCCTCGTCCTCGTCTTCTTCGTCGTCCATCAGGTCGTCCATATCATTGTCTTCGTCCAACGAAATGTCTCCAGCATCATCCTCGTCCTCGTCTTCGAGATCATCTTCATCATCGCCGATCTGCTTTGAAGGTCGTGACTGAGGTTTGTTCGTTTGGGTCTTGCTCTGCGTTGTGTTTGGTCTTCTCTGGGTATGGTTCATATGTTGCGGTCGCTGTGGAGTTGCTCTAGCGTAGACGTGGGTTCTCTTCTGTACCCGTTGCGCTTTTCGTTGCTCTTTTCTTGACAGCTGCTGTCCCGATCTCCTAGGTCCATTGCGTTGTGGTTTGGGTTCTGGAACATCGAAGCCCATACGCTTGAAGAGCTTGTGTTGAAGCTCTGGTGCGGACGTCATCTTACCGGAAGTATAGTGAAAGGGAAGCGCCGTGTTGTGCCAGTATTAGAATCTTGAGGTTGGTTGAATTTTAAAGCAACGATCTGCTTGATCTTTGATAGTGGTTATGCCTAATTTAGCAGGCGGTTAATGATGAATATTGCGATTTGGGCGATATCTTTTTGAAATTTTGTCGCAACGGTGGTCTGAAAAGTGTAAATTTGTCACATCCTTGATATTAGTATCCTTTACGATGAAATTAACCCAAACTGAACTTTATGAGTCTCTTTTATAAGTCTGAGAATGATCCTGAAAAATACAGAAATTCTGCCGGCAGAAAATAACTTCAAATTTCAAGAGACTCGGCGGTACCTGAGTGATGGTGATTTCTCCACTGAAGTTCAGGTATCGAGCTCACCGCCCGATGTAAGCCACGAACAACCTGCTGGCTGCCACAACCTGGTACGCCACACTTTAACCCCCCGATATGATGGCGGGGCACAATGTCAACCTCAACATTAGTAGATCGCTTAGCACTCATCTCTCAATATACATCGACTGTTGACGGTCTCATATCCCATCACTATGGCTGACTCTCATATGAGCCATGACGAAGTGAGTCTACATCCCCCTCCTCACATTAGGAGAGACCCGAATGATCTTCCAGCAGCTTTGTTTCTGACATCAAGACAGTTCTTCGCCAAGTTGGGTGAGCTCTTCAATCATCGCAAGGGCAGCGACCATGGCGCCATTTACTTGAGCCAGAAGCGACGTACGTGTGATAATCTACAGCATCTCTCATTCCGCTAAGAAAACTCTCAGTCACCTACGGTCAAGACATCCCCAGTCCCTCAGAAGAGGAGCCCTCTCCAGATATTCACCCTGGCAAGCCTCTGCCCCTCATCATCAGGGCAACAAATGGCAAGGGCAAGAAGGCTCGCTCTAATAAATCCAAACTCTCAACAGTCGTCAACCCCGAGGATCTGGAGGCTTTCTACGTGCGGTATGCCGATGTGTGCAAGGCTGGGATGACAGCCTTGAAGCCCAGAGACAGGAGCAAGAAGAAGGCTAAGGCAAAGAAGAAGAAGGCCGCAGCATAAACAATTTTCTTTTCACAGTTCAGGGGTTTCCGGTGTCAAGGGTCAATGGTCAAAGTTATATCATGCATTAATGAATTATCATGTTCTGCGACACCCAAGCAGGTCTCCAAACCACCACAGCTTTGAATTATTTCTACAAAAGATAGAGTAAACATTACATGGAGCTGCGTTCCCATCCAACACTGTCAGAAGCGTATGCGCATTAGTCAGATCGAGCGAAGTCCGGAAAAGGGGTCAGGCCATTTAGCACACTTTGCCAGAGCTGAGCTGTCCTCGGAAAGCGCCGGGAACAGCAAGGCTAGAGTGCGAGTCGGCGAAGAACTTCTCGGGGTTCTTCTCGATCTGCTTGAGAGTGAAGCCAACGCCAGTGTCTTGGCCGTTCTGGATCACACCAGTGCGGAATGGGCCCTGGAGGCAGCCGACAGCGTTGCGGCTCTTCTCGTCCCCGACGGGGTTGGGGAAGGCAATGCTAATATCAAGTCAGCTTTTGTATCTTCAATTGTGCATATATCTGTGCTATCAACTTACCGCGGAGGTCCAGACTTGCCCTTGACAGCCTCGTGGATGTGGGTGGCGGTGTTGGCGGGAGACTGATAGTCACCTCGGAACCCATACAAGGTGATGTTGTAGCAGATGACATCCTCGTTCGAGTTGATGCCAAACTTGAAGAGGCCCTTACTG